GTGTCCGAAACTTCTGATTCATGAGAGCCTCATACCTTGTAACTGGCTATTTCTCATCTCTTGTAGGTATTTCCAATGGGCTTTTTTTGCCAGTTGCACTGTTACCCACAATTTTTCCCATCACATGAAAAAAATTCTACAGATGAGGAAGTAGCAATGATTTTTCTAAATAGTCCATCCTGAAATACTCATCTAGATGTATCTTGCAACTCAATTTCTATTTATTATTTAAACAATTTACTCATTAGTAAAATTTATTACCTCTAAGTAATCACAACTACTAGTATTACCCATGCAAACTTCATCTCAGCATCTGCTCTCCTACCCCAGACCATTCTGCTGAAAACCCCATCCCAATGTCCTGCTATTTAAATACTGTTTGTGTACTCTCCTATGAGGACAGGCTGAGAGAGCTGGGGTTGTTCAGCCTGGAGAAAAGAAGGCTCCGGGGAGATCTAATTGCTGCCTTCCAGTACCTGAAGGGGGCCTACAGGAAAGATGGAGAGGGACTGTTTATCAGGGAGTGTAGGGACAGGACAAGGGGTAATGGGTTCAAGCTGAAGAAGGGCCGATTTAGATTAGATGTTAGAAAGAAATTCTTTACTGTGAGGGTGGTGAGGCACTGGATCAGGTTGCCCAGAGAGGTTGTGGAGGCCCCTTCCCTGGAGTGTTCAAGACCAGGTTGGATGAGGCTTTGGGCAACGTGGTCTAGTGGAGGGCATCCCTGCCCATGGCAGGGGGGTTGGAACTAGATGATCTTTAAGGTCCCTTCCATCCCAAACCATTCTATGATTTCCTATCACACCCCATCTTCCCCTCACGTTCTTCTGAACTGCTGGTTGCTACCTCTTTCATGCTGACTGATGACAGCAGGGGGAGCAGCAAGAGCATGGGAAATACTTTCCTACTCCAGTTTAAGTTTCATCTTGACAATGTTCCATGGAGGAGCACTGGGAGAAGCAACCACAACTCCAAAAACCCTTTCACATCCCAAGGACATAAACTAATGATATCTGTAAAGTTCATCACAGAACACAACCAGGATCCTGAAAGAGCAAGGACCCCAAATATAATCATTACAGATGGAACACTTGGCAAAAATCACCTGTCAAACTCAAGAATTTTACAACTCGGGGAAACAGCTGACTTTTTTCAAAAAGACAGCCTGCTTATTCTACCTTGCTGTTGTATCTTTGTTGCATCCGTGCACTCCAGACTCCTTGTCTGTGCACTGAAGCATATAATGATTGAAACTACTTATAGATACTGTTAGCGTGTGATTTTTGCTCATGTCAATGAATAGCATACTATTGATACACAGAAGTGAATGAATCTTATTTTGCCTAAACTGCAACATCACTGCCACCAGCTAAATGTATACAGAAAAGCGTTAGACATCCTCATCTATGAGGAAGTACTACAACCTCTAGGTCAAACAGACTTACTGAGCTACAGAATTCCTAGACTGGGAGTGTAACAGACATAATAAAATGTGTGACCTGTTCCTGCTCTTCAACTTGTCTCCCGAGTCAAGATCACAGATCACTGGTATATCCTTCCAGAAACCGTATGACTTGATTTTAACTGCTGACCTCAGACTTTTTCAACTTAGACTGTATTGCCAAATCATGTATTTAAGTAGGCACAGATATTTAGTGCATCTACAGTACTCAAACTCTGAGACCACTTCCAACAGTATCAGTACATTTTATACTCAACTGCTTCAGCCTTTTACAAGTGTGTTTCCCAGACACATTGTTGAACTCAGTCATTAGCTAGCAGAACTCCATATTACTTGAAGCTCATGCTTCAATAACGAAGGCATGAAATTAAAACTGGTTTTCCTAAATGTGCTTCTGTTTTAGTACAAACATACATCTTTACATTTCAACTCAACTGAGAAAAAGCTCCTAAGAATAGTGAATATTCACTCTCTCCTTCAACGAAGTACACTAATTAATCATCAGTGAAGAAAAAAGGATTAGGACAATAAATCTGCTGAAGAAAGAAAAGCAAGGCTGTCAGATTCTTCACACTTGATTTTCTGATACCTATCTAATTCAAGTACATATACAGTATACACTCATGAAAGCCCGTATTTTTCTTATTAAAGGAAGCAAAACTATAGAAGGTTTTTCAGCCTCACAATTACCTGAAATATTCTCTTTTCAGCCCCTCTTTGTTTGGTATATTCTTTAGGCAGGAATTCTTTCAGGCTAAAAAAAAAAAACCACAAACATTTCCATAGTTAATGGTGCCTTCTTGAGGAGGGATGCTTTCCATTTTCCTTTATTGGCATTAATTTCCCCCAAACTTCCTAAAATGGGCATAAAATACCTATACAATAAAATAAAACTTTGGCTAAGTACGATGGCAGCAAGAGAATACCTTGCATAATTAAGAAAAACACTTTAGTTACATCCCCATGTAATATCTCTTCATGTTTTGAAAAGTCATCATAAGTAAACAACAGCTAGGACGCTTTACATTCTTGAACTATATGATGTGCCTCAGCAGCTCAGAGGGTTTCACATCTAAATCCAAATACACTCATTATAATCTGAGGGAAGAAGGGGACATCAAAGCTTGAGCCAGCTTTGTATCTGACTTCAGACACTGCTATCACTTTCCAGTAGCACTTTTATTGATGCGTGGAACCAAGTTCTTACTCTGTGTCTTCCAAGAAATGTTAGAACACTAATATTTTACTGAAAAACTGCAAAGCCTAAATGGACACTTAATACCAGTCACTATCTCAAAAACAAAGTCATAAATAACCAGTCCTAATTTCTGTAGCACTCACATACAAAAGGTCTCAGAATACAAAGTAAACTAAGCAAGTTCAGCCTCCACGATAGAGTTTAGTCTTTAAACACCTCATTTGTACCTCCTTGCAGTATAATAAAATAAACCCTTTATCTCAGCCAAACATCACCCCAACTTGAAGACAAATCAACATCATGCTTTAACAGACATCAGTTCTTTTCTGGATTGCACTTTCCCATCTGGAATGCTCTACTCTGATGAAACTATATCATGTATTCAGCAGTTCATTTTCAGCATGAAGAAACTTCCACAGGTTAAAAAAATTGGTTTCTAAGGATTCCCCCCACTACTTGAGGCTATTAAGAGTCACAAAAAAATGTATGACTGGAGAAACTCCTTCTCATTTTCATTTATTCAGCAAGCAAGCACAATATTAACATGGAAAGCTAGAACTACCTACTATCATTGAAAATTACAAGTTTTGAGAACAATGGATTTACTTTTTTTTTTTTAAACAAGATTAGCAAAACAATTTGCTCAACTGTTCTGTGAGGGTTTTTTTGTTTTGGTTTGTTTTTTGGGGGGATGGGTGTTTGGAGGGTTTGTTTGTTTTAGTTTGCTTTTTTGTTTTTAAACACAAAAGTCTGCCATTGCAGACAACAACCAAAATAACTCAAAAGACTCAGCATTTTGTGCTTTTCTTCAAAAATTTTTTTTGAGTAGCGAGATCATTCATTTTGTTCTTTCCATAAAGCTCTAGCAATATAAATCAAAGTAATAACAACTATCCTTGCTAATCTTTCTTCCAATACTTCAGTAGCTACATCTCGCTACTACATGATAATGAAATCTCTTCTCAGGATTTATTTACACAGACACATCATGGAGTGGGGAAGGCTGGAGAGCCAAATTAATTTTGTAGATATGGATTGCATACAGCTTTTTATCCTAAAAACCTGATGCCTTTATTCTGAAACAACTGGTGTTTTTATACACAATTGCATAGGTTCCAAATCAGTTTGGTTAAATTCACTTCCAAGGGTGAAAAAAACCAACCAGCTCCCCCCTCCAAAACCCCAACATGAGTTAAACACAGTTTAATTCTGGAAATTAATTTATATAGAAAAATTATAGTTATCAATTCACTTCCAATTCTCATCTTTTATTAACTACAGTTGATTTCTCAGCTATCCCTATGTAGATAATCAAGACCATTACATTTGCAGGCATGTTTACTTACTTTGTTAACTAATATACACTTTAAGAAGACATTGCTGAGCAAACATTATTTGGAGATGCTTAAGCAGCAAGAGTTAGGAAAACAACTTTGTGCATTTGTCCACAAAGCACCAGTTGGTATACTCTTGCACATGTAGCTGGCAGTTAGATTGGATGCTTTTTCCCCTGTATCACCATCTACTATCTTTTCAATCAATAGACAAGTAATCACCTCAAATGAAAGGGTGAAATGCTAGTTGTAAACAGACTGAAGTTATGGTAATGCTACCTATAATCAAGAATGGCATTAGCAAAACCACCTGGAATATTTTATCATTTAGCCTTCTTTACTCTCTTTAATTACACATTATTACAATGGTCAATGAACTGAATTAAAAACCCCCATCTAATAGCAAGGAGAGTTTATTTAATTTACTGTGAATTTTTTCCTACAGTTATAAAAAAAATTATACACAAAGACGAACATATTGATTGTTATTCATTAGCGTAGAAGTATATCCAGTGTTCTTAGAAAAGACAGTTCAAGACAGTAGAACAGGCTAGATTAAAGAATTGAGCTTACTGGTCACCAAGCATGCTTGGAAATAAAAAGCAGAGGTGGACAGTTTTAGCTGCTGCTTTCCTATCTGCATATCAATAGTATGAGTTTTTTATTCAACATTCTCTCAGCAAAGTTAAACACAGTGTAACTCTGTAGGTGTAATGCAAAACTTCAGCTGTATGAGGAAGGACATGAAGGACTATTTGCAATTTGATAGTTTAAGAGCTTTCACAATTTACTTTGGCACGAGCTTCAAGGAAATTCCAACAACTAATACCAAAGTGTTAACAAGATGCAGGCAATAATCTTCATCTGCACCAAAAATCATTTATCAATGACAAAAAAGGATACAAAAGATCTCTCTATATAAACATATTGTAGACATGGCAAACTAAACTAACCTGTTTCAAAATAATGCTATGAAATACTAATGCTATTCTATTACATCCTGTTTTCTGTATGGGCTGACAGATTCTCCTTAAGGGAATCCATAACCTGTTCAGGTTTCAGTGGTGAATGAATGGACACTCCTCAAATGTATTTCACATACTGAGCTACAGCAGAGAGTTTACGTAAAACTTTCATACTTGAAAAGAATCAAGGTTCATCCACAAAGAGTAGGAAATAGTTGGATGAAACTTGAAAAAAGCTCAACCTTTTTCAAGGAAAAAAAAAATATTTCTGACTAGTCAAGAGATATATTTTCAGAAAAAAAAGGAAACCAGCATTTACCAACACTATTTTTACATATTGTTCACAATAAGTCAGGAGCGCCTGGCTAGTTTAGACTCAGATTAGCTTTTACAAAAAGGCTGTCGTGAAGGCTATGTACAGGCAAATGCGTACAACACAATCATAAACATGTACACTTGAAATTAGAAAGCAATGACTAGGGACTTACAGTTCTGGAGCAGGCTCCTCTACCGAGGGGAAAAAGAGTATCACTTCTAAATCAGATATCCTTAATTTTATGAAACCGATTATACAGCAGGACAGCGAGCAACTACAGTTAGTGACCTGCAAAGCTTGATCCTTATACAGTCAAAGCCCATTTAAAAAAATAAAACAAGAATAAAGAAAATTCCCTGCAGAAAATAACAAGGTTCTAAGTTTTGGAATTCTGGTTCTCGATGATTTCCAGTGGAGTAAGGTTCTCTAATATACAGTTCAGTTATTTATATCTTTAATTTCTATTAGGATTAAAAAAAAAGATAATGCACTTTATACATGTGATGACTTTATTCTGTGAGGGACTTCAATCTAGCATTGCACACAAAGTAGAAATATCATCCAGTCGGCAGTTTCAGTCCACCATAAAACACAGTTACTACATGGGAGTTTAAAAAAAAATCAAAATATCTTTACATCAAAAAGACCAAGTAGAACACCTAGAAAACCTTGAAAAATTTAAGCAACTGAACTCTGCATAGCAGTTTGCGAAAACTTCTGGTTAAGTTTGTGGGGAATTACTGCTTTAAAAATTAAAACAAAACTAAACACAACTATTGACAGGAACACCTAACTCTTGAAATCACTACCATGACACAACATTAGCTTGTCATGAGTTAATCATCTAATGGTTTGCTGCAGGAACACTCTTGAGTGGAGGGAGAAGGGAAGAATAAGTAGACAATGGACAAATCCCAGAGGAAGATTGTTGTGTAACTGGTCACAGTTCTAGGGAATAAGAACCAGGAGTACACTGAAGCTATTACATTGGGTCCCCATAATTCTTAGAGACACCAGCAGCTCTATTAGGAAAGGTTCATGGGCCAATCAGTAGCAGACAAACAGTACAAAGAAAAGCTGATTATTAACTGGAACTGAAGAATGTTTGTTCATGTGGTTTGCTTGCATAACTGAACTGGTACTTCAGGAAAATCTTTCAAAAGTGAAGTGTTTCAAACAACCAGTGTTGCAGCATTGCATGTTGCAAAGCAAGCCACCATGATTCCCTGAGATACAGTAAACCCCAGACTCAGGCTCACAAAGGAAGTGTAAGAGTCAGCACTGAGCACTCAGCCAGTGGAACAGGACAGAAACCAAATATGCACCCATTGTTTTTTGCATCCCATTAAGGTATCTATGAGCCTCACATGTAGCCAAGGCTTGATGGACTGTACAGTAAATAGCTTTCTTTCACCCTCCCACATTCCCTTCCTCAGACTCCAGCCCTCAGTTAATTCTACTACAGGCAAGCCAATCAGAAAAATGGGACATCTAAGTTTCAAACTAAACTTGCCCTGCAGTAAAGAATCACAATAAAGGTTAAAGAATGGGTCACTTGTAAACAGGACTCCTTTCCATGCCTGAAAAAGACAACAATTTTAGATCTCCATTCATACAACGCCATGAGAGGATGAATCTAAACAACTGATTAATGTCACTAAAAAGTTTGGAAAATTTAATCTCTACACGCAGCAATATTACCTGTACTCAAATGACAAAGCACCTTTCTATTCATGTACTTTCCTAGCAAATCAAGCATCTGTGATATATACTGTTGTACATTTAAATCACACATGACATTAGTAAATGGAGGCAGAAGTAGACTTCTAAGGAAGAACTAAATCGCAGTTCTCCCACATTACCAGGTGGTTGGGGAATCCAGCTGTCTACTTAAACTGGCACCCTGGGGGGAGCTGGTGCCCTGTGCTGCCTAGTAAGCCACTGCCAAAAGTCTCCTCACCAGCTGGGGTTGTTGATTTGTGCAATAAGGCTCTTTTCACAGTAAAATTGCAACAGACACCACAATGAATCTGATTATCTCTACCTGGAGTACTAAAATGCATTTAGTCTGTGACAACTCAACATTAGTTACACTTAAGGTCACCCGAATTTAGAAGTTAGAAATGTTTACTCTAAAAATCCAGGTTTATGTTTGTGTTCTACATGAGGTCCAAACTGGATCTGTGCTTGAAAGCCTCCAAACTCGCAGGCCTTCTCAAAGGAGACAGGATGGGAACCATTCAGAATGTCATCACGAGCCTATAGGAGGTAAGCAAAAACATGTCAGGGACATCCAAAATAACTATTACGTCTCTGAAATTCCTTGAAACCTTGAACATGACCCAAGAATCCAGCACCACACTTCTCTGTCTGAATGTCTTTATTATTCCATTCTGGATGTGTTTATGACTAATAAAATAAACAAAGGGCTAGCTAGATTATTTTCTAGTGAATATCTGTGGCAACCACAATTGTAACAACTGTCATCAAAAAGAGGACTTGACACCCATTCCCTGCTGTACATGTATATAAAACACAACAGATCTATATACACTTGTGTGTGTGTACACACACAATACATATACAGATATGTGTGTGTATATACATACATGTAAAAGCTTTTATCTTACCACCTTGTAATAGCATGGAAAACGATCTACATAACTAGTAAGCAAAAACCAGTTTACTCTCAGAAATGGCAACAGAAAAATGCAAACAGCACTTTTCTTCCTTTTGTTTTAATGTAGTGGTCATAGAAGATGATGGATTTTATAGCTCTGGCAATAGAAGGCTCATCCTACCCATACACAGAACAATGACGACAAAGCAGGAGAACAGCTCAGTGTCATAGAGTCTCCTAAAAAACTTGAAAAATGTCATGCAATGTTACAAGCAATGTCATCTTTATCTTTTGTCTCAGTTTTAAAATGTAATTTAGAGCAATCCCACTTGAATCAGCAACAAGTATAACAACTGAACTTTCCATTAAGCTTTCAAAGATTTGTTGTGTTTTTGGTTTGTTTTTTGTTCGTTTTTTTTACTTTAGAAAACCACAACATTAATAAAAAAGTTTAAAAGTCTACTTTTTCAGACTGCATTACAGGAAACTACACTAGAGCCTGCAGTTAAATAGTATCTTCTGCATAGAAGTCCTAGCTTTGCTAAAGTAAGTATAGTACCTCTATCCGTTTGGGCAACGTGCCTAGGTGGACTCCAACCATGTTACATGATATGGTCCATTTTGAACAGGAAGCCTGCCTGGCCTATGTGCTGTCTGGGTTGAGGATTGGAAAGGGAACGCAGGAGCAGCTCTCTCACTGATCAGACAGAAAAGAGATGAGAAGCAGAAAGCTGTTTGCAAGACTGACCTGAGATTCCATGTTACAGAGAAAGCATCACCTATAGAAGATAATATGGAGAAGAACTAAAACCAACAACTTTAGAGACTAAATTAATTAATGTTAAGGAAATGAGGACAAGGATGTCAGTGGATTTTTGGTTGAGTGTCCATTACTGGGTTGAAAGTATTTGATTAAAAAGAATCAGCAAAGCCTTTGTACTACAACATGTTCTTGAAGGGACAGACAAAAAAGTAAAATCAAAGCACATCCAGAAGTGGAATTCTAGAAGATTTCAGCAACAAAATTTTTCTAATTAACCTACACAGGTTTCTTCAGAGAAGACAGAACCCACATTTCTGGTCCACATACTGTACCTGAACATAAAGCAAATTAAGCTGAACAGGATCTCTTGAATCTACGTTCTGGTCTGAATAAAAAAACTTTCGTCTCAACAGTAGTGTTTCATTTTCATCGACTCCTTGTTCTCTAAAAGTTCGGCTGTGATCTAGCCAATTTACTGTAACAGAACCAGACATACACCTTGTTAAATATGCAGTGCTGCCAGTGTTAAAAGCTATTGTGAAAATCATGGGATAATTGGCATTTCTGCTGGGGGAGGAAACTCCACAAAAAACATCGCTTTCATTTCTGTTTCTAGTCGTCAGTGTTGACGATTGCTACAAATGAGAACTAAAGACAGCACTGCTGAGAAACAATAATTTACTACAGCATAAAACACCATTAATATTGTTGAAGAAACAACTATAGTAACATTTAATGCCAAATTTAGGTCTTTAAAGCTTCATTGTAAAATTACTTAAAAAATTGCCACATTTTACCCCTAAACCCAATTTTTCTGTTTAGTTTTATTATACCTGAACACAATTTTAAAAAATTTGCCTGCCAGTCACAGTTAATATTAGTGCCTTAATGTAAAACAGAATAAATGGTTCTCATGACTTTACACATATAACAAGTCGAATACTGTTTTAGTTCTTCAGCAAACTCCATTTACACTTTAAATTTATACCTTCAAAGACAAAACTACCTTTTGATGTCTTTCAGTAGGTATCAATATTTACATATCCAACTTTAATAAAGGGGTGAAAAATGGTCATTACAGAAATGACCCTTCACACTTAAGTTAGAACTCCCCTATCGAAAAAGTAAAACAACCCCAACACTTCAAAAGACCCACTAACTCTCATAGAGGCAACAACTTGTCAACTTACCTACTTTAAAAAATACTCAGTAGTAGATGACATTGTATATAAAAAGATGCAAAATACAGGTAGAGATCAACTGAGACACACTGAAGAATCTAAAAGTGCATTCCTGTATGGTTTTCTTGCACTGTACTGTGGAAATACATTAATCAAAGAATTATCCTGGAATGCACTACTCACAATCATCATCTGTATGAAGCTTTGCCTTCAATTTTTCCATTTTTCTTTCATCACGCAACAATGTCCTATCTTTCTTAAGTGTTCCTGTACTCTCCTCTTTCTTCTCTTCGATGCTTTCCTGGATTAAGGAATATTCCTCATAATTTGTTATTCCTGGAAATATAAATAAATCCAGTGTTTGTAACAATAAAAATCTAATATATTTTAGGATTGGTGAAATACTTTTCCAAATATTAGAACACCAATTGTTAATTGCAAGTAAACATCTTCCAGATGAAATGGTAAAATAGTGTATAGGGAAGGAGATCCCAAGAATAATCTACAACTTCCACATTCAAGACATCTCTCCAATATCCAGCCTTATCCTTCAAGTACATCATTCCATCATATGCTGCATTTGCCACTTTCAGAACTTTTTTTCGTTGTTGTTATCTACCAAGAGAAGCTGCCAGTTTAAAAACATGATGGAATTTAAAACAGCAGTAAACTCCAGAATGGAGATACACCATAGTAAATTTCCTTCCATGCATGTCTACAATTGCTTCCTGAGAACCGAGTAATTTCAGCTTGCCCACGATGTGTAGAAGAAATGTGGCAGAGCAGACTGAGGAATAGAAACCACGTGAAATATATGATTTTTTTTTTTTTTTTAAACAACTCTTTCTATGAATTTTACATGAAACTGAATCAAAAAATCAGTTCACAACATTTAGCAATACATGCTAAGTTGCTCTTATTTGTTCTGCTTGTTTTTTCCCCACTGTTTGGTAAAGCATGTTTATGTTATACAGGAAAGATAATTAAATGCTCACCTACATGACCACATTCGTGAAAATAAGTCAAACTAATTTTTGAAGTAAATTAGAGCACATTAGAATCCAGCATAGAAACACTCAAAATTGAAATGGATGAATTTAAACTTAGCTTAATTCACTTTCCAAGTAAATTAATCTAAATCAAATTAAGGCCACTTTAATTCTAAATGAGAATTAAGCAAGGGTTTAAGATTATTTAAACTAATGCATGTTAGATGCATGTTTATAGTTAAATATGAATTAGTTTTCTAAAATGTCTCTATTTAGATAAACAGAAAGACAGACTATAACCAAGATGACACATTTTTGACCAGCTGCTCTGGATGGCTTCCATGCATCATTTCACAAATGATACGGTACTGTGATCAACTCTTAACTATTACAACCTAGAGCCCTAAGTTTATGTATATTTCAAGGTTAACCGTATTTATCTTTTATCCCATTGAAATTAAGTATAAATTTAGTTCTAATTACCACATAACAGGAAAACATATGTAAAAGGTAACATACAATAAAAAATTTATAAACTGTCAGATAACTTTGTGACTTCAACTTTGCTTGACTAACCTGATCTCCTTCTATGACAATGTGACCTGCTTAGCAGATGAGGGAAAGGCTGCGGATGTTGTCTACCTGGACTTTATTAAAGTGTTTGACATCATTTCCCACAGCATTCTCCTGGAGAAACTGGCTGCTCATGGCTTGGAGAGGTATATACTTCACTGGGTAAAAAACTGACTGGCTGGCTAGCCAGGCCCAGAGTCGTGGTGAATGGAGTTAAATCCAGTTGACTATCAGTCACAAGCGGTGCTCCCCAGGGCTCGGTATTGGGGCCAGTTTTCTTTAATAGCTTTATTAATGATCTGGATGAGGGGATTGAATGCACCCTCAGTTAAGTTTGCAGATGACACCAAGTTGGGTGGGAGTGTTGATCTGCTGGAGGGTAGGAAGGCTCTACAGAGGAATTTGGACAGGCTGGATTGATGGGCCAAGGCCAACTGTATGGAAGTTCACCAAGGCTCAGTGCTGGGTCCTGCACTTGGCTCACAACAACTCCAAGCAACACTACAGACCTGGGGAAGAATGGCAAGAAAGCTGACTGGCAAAAAAGGACCTGAGGGTGTTGGTTGAGAGCTGGCTGAATATGAGCTGGCCATGTGCCCAGTGGCCAACAGCATCCTGGCTTGTATCAGAAATAGTGTGGCCAGCAGGACTAGGGCAGCAATCGTCCCTCTGTATTCAGCACTGGTGATGCCACACCTCAAGTACTGTGTTCAGTTTCGGGCCCCTCGCTACAAGAAGGACATTGAGGTGCTGGAGCATGCCCAAAGAAGGGCAACAAAGCTGGTGAAGGGTCTAAAGAGCAAGTCTTATGAGGACCAGCTGAGGGAACTGGGGTTGCTTAGTCTGGAATAAAGGAGGCTCACGGGGAGACCTTATTGCTCTCTACAACTACCTGAAAGGAGATTGTAGCAAAGTGATTGCTGGTCTCATCTCCCAACTAACATGTTATAGGACAAGAGGAAATGGCCTTGAGTGCCAGGGGAGGTTTAGATCGCATATTAGGAAAAACTTTTTCACCAAAAGGTTTGCCAAGCATTGGAACAGGCTGCCCAGAGAACTGGTTGAGTCACCATCCCTGGAGGTATTTAAAACACACTTAGATGTAATGCTTAGGGACATGGTTTAATGCTAAATACTTTAAAATTAAGTCATAGCTAATTCTCTACTGACTTTCATAAAACCTTGTAAACAGAGTTCAAAAAAGCATTTGGTAAATGCTAACTGACAGCAAATTTAAGTAGTTAACATATGTGCCAATTTCTAGCCGGTAATACACTTAATATCTTAAAATCAAAATGCAAATATAGCAGAAAACTAAATTCTTAAGCATGTAGGTCCCAAAATCTTACCTATTCTGCTGCAAATGGTAACCAGCAATTCACCAACTGTTTTAGAATCATCCACCATGACTGTTTTCACTGAACCATCCAACATACGTATTTTCTGAGGTCTTTGTTTCTTTTTGTACTCCAATATATCCTAGGAAGTAAACAATACTGTTTCTAAAAGCTTTTGGAAGCTACTACAAGCCAACCCACTAACTTAGATGCCTGAACCAGGATTCCCTCCCCACACCCCAAGCTGGACTTTTCCTTTGTTATAGTATAGGCAAACTTATTCATGTAACAAACTTGAGAAGTGACTACTTCTAGTTCTGCCAATGTCACTTTTCAAGAACTTGTCCTAGCTAGCAAGACCAAAACCTAGACAGGGCAGGGTAGAACAAAGTTCCTTTGTGCTGCAAAGACTAGTTTACCATTTAAAAAGGATAGCAATGCCTTTTGGTTTTAAGCAAGCTGGTCATAATGTGAGAAAATATGACCTCATCATTTTTGGTATACAAGAAACCTATGCTATAATGCAAGGTCACGTGGAATAAAAAGCTTATTACGAAACTTATTTTCTATCTTTCTGTTAATCATTCTATGAAGACATTATTGGCCACAGTAGCTCACAGCCATAACCAGATGGAGGAAAAACTGAGGCACAGCAAGGAAGAGAAGTGGGCCAGTTTCAGGAACAGACTCAAGACCCTCCTACCCATCCAAATACTAAACATTCTTCTTGCTACTTGGGAAACGAGTTTTCTAAAAACATGTTCATGAAAGAAGCAACAGACTTGCACCATACCCCATTTCTCAGCATGTAATAATCCAGTGTTCTTCCAGCCTCCAGCCATATACCTTTTCGAGGATCTTCATCTGACAAGAACAATCCATAGTCAGAGGCTGTGGAACAGAAGAAACAGAAACTCACTGAAAAATATCAAACCTCAAGAAGCCAGCATGGTTTTACTCAAGATTATTCACCTTCAGGTTAAGCTTCCATTATACTTACCTTCCGTTCTTAATGAACTGGGATAGAAATTTTTTTCTGTGCCTCAGAAAATATTTAGCTTAACAGCAGATAGCAGAGTAGATCAGGCTTTATAGAAGACATAAACAAATGCTTCAGTAAGCAAGAACATGGCACATGTATTGTGCAATTTGTATTACATTTATAATTACTTCTCTTCAAGACAATCATTTTTAGATGGTTATTGGTCCTGCTTTGGAATTGACTAACCAAAACTACAAGCAGTTTGGGCCTAACCATAGTATACTTTTTCAAGCAGTAGCTCTATTTAAATTAAAAGAAAAAGTTTGTTTTCAACCCTTCACATATTGAGTTTATGCTTAACTTTGGAATCTTTTTGGTAGATGCTACAGGTTTAGGCATGCAAAAAAACACAAGGCTTCTGGAATTATATCCATAATAACAACCTCAGGGGAAAACTTACACCTATTCCAGGCTAAACACATCGGTTGATTCTTTCAGAATCACAAGTAAAAGATAAAACTTCCATTGACACAGAAGAACAAACCCAGGCTTAGGCTTCAAAAACTAAACTTCTGGTATACAAAATGAAGGACCATGACTATCACAGCTTAAGGCTCTCCCATATGCTTGAAAAATTGATAGAGAATACACTTCCCTATCAACAAACAGTGTAAACTATTGTTCATCAGCTGAGCCTGCTCTAACTACAGTTCTACAGTGTAAGCTAACAGCTTTTATCACACAAGCTGACCAGCTGCATGCACACAGCCTGTTAGAACAGCTCCGTGCAAGGACAGGACCTTGTTTACTTTCAGCCACTCTGATCAGAAAATCAGGTAAAAATAGCTACAATTTTTGGACATGTTTCATCTTTACACAATTTACATTTAACAGCATTTACATTGAACACATTGTTACTCACACAAGGACATAAAAGACCTTACACTCAATAAAAGTGCAACTGACTTACAGATACACAATTTCAAAGGAAGAATCCTTCCAAAAACAACTGTTCCTGCCGATCTTAATTAAACATTCCCCTGAAAAGCCAAGTGATCAGTATGTACAGAGATGTTTATGACACAAACTCAGTACAGAATCAGGTAAGTTTTAGAATTTGTGCCTATAAATAGATCATGACCTTTAGAAGCATAGCAAGTGCTTTGCACAGAGCACAATTTACAAAGGAAGCACAGATTGCTCTGATATTAACTTCTGGGGGATGCACCCTAGTAATAAAATAGTACAACTTGCATGTTAACCTTTGTGCCAACATGTAAGCTTGTTGGAGAAGTGAAACGTGCATGTTTGATGGTCATAATGCAGGACAATTACATGTTCTGTTGTGCAGGAACTAGTTGGATCAGTCTGTACTGCACTACTGTGAGTCTTCTGAACTAAATAGGCAAACACACACATTTTTAACAGCCACAAAGAAGGGGAAAGGGAATGTTAGTAATCTTATTTCTGTTCATCACTCAACTTCAAAGCTGTTTGAAGTTCATAATTGCACTGCAATCACATATAAAGGAAAAGCCCTACTGTATAATCTGAGGAGAGTTCCTAGGCTTTTCTATGATGTTCAGGGATATTTATTACTCAACTTCTGAATTCAACAGCTGTTCAAAAATCATTGCCTTGAGAGATCAGTATGGTAAAATGCACAGCTTGTATCTGAAAGTTGAATTTTTTCTATCCGAATTTTTTGACAACTTTTACTACATTTAATCCAGAACTTCTGTCCAAGTGAAGACGTATTTCACGGTCTGCATTGATCTAATTTGCTAAATAGGTACACAGACAGTTAAATTTGATTAACATGTAGCAGCATTGTGACTATGGTATGCACAGCATGGTGATGCTTTTACTTATTAACCACTTTCAAACATTTCCCCTTCGCATATTTTGGGGATGTCCAGCCATTCTTTTGTAATTTGTGTTGCCCCTTCCTTTGCTGAGGCACAAAAGTCTACCTAGATTTTCCTAGAAAGCATCACCACAAACATTGCTTTAAAAAGATGGTATCACAAAAATTGTTCTCCAAGCGGGGGTGGGGTGGGAGGGAATCATCGTTCAGACAAACAAGCCATTTAGTTAAGAAGTTAAATTTCCACAAAAATAAAAAAGCATCCTTTGTAGAAAAAACCTCTCTCAGGACAGAAGGAAAAAAAGAACGCAGTGACCTTCTGCCATTTAAAAATCTGTTTGCACTTTGTGCCTTTCACTCCAGAGCCTTATGATTTAAGTAAAAAAAAAACCCAAACTCTCCAACCTCAAAGATAAATAGAGGAACAGAACCATGTCAAAAAACCCACCTCCATAGGTTTATGTCTATTTTCAGTTCAGCCAATGAATTGACTAAGGAGAAATACAGGAACTCACCTTGCCCTGTTTGAGCCTCTGGCACACGTTCACGAATAACTCTACAGGCATCATACACTGCAGTGGATGGTTCAAACTGCATTGTCTTCACTACATTGCATTGGCGGACACAGATCTTCAAGGAAAGAGCCACCATACTGTCAAGTCACTTGCAAGTTTCTCCTAAAGTATCTGAAAAAAGCAGCAATGGCATTATTACTTAGTTTTCCATTTAATGCTTTAATATACTCAACTTTTCATTAAAAAAAGAAAATTAGTTCAGTAGAACCATATGTATTCAAATGCAGTTCTATATAAAAGTCTCACTAGCTAGAAACTAACCAACACACATTTTTCTTAGTATATTGGAAGTTTATTTTCCAAAAACTTGTGTATACATACTTAAAGGTTGATACTGCCTGAGGAATGTCAAAATGGTGCACAGGAAAACAATACACTTATGTGGTATATTGCCAACATATTTACTACTGACAGCAAATTATTTTTCTCTCACCATACCTGTTTATTAGACCATTTAGAATAGCAGGTAACGAACAGCTTAGAATACTACTTAAATTAAAGCAGGATTTTCTTAGCACATAACTTCTCCTTTCTGAAGATTCTAGAGTGTGCAACACTGTGTTGTGGGTTATTTCAAGTCTCCACGTAGATTGGCTAGATGTTTTTACCCCACTGTGCAGCTACCAAGAGCTTCAAGAACAAGCTATCTTTCATTTCAGTTCTATTTCAGAAACTTCACTGAATTTGACAGCATTTCTCTACAGAAACAGGAATCTACAGATGCTTTTTGTTTTGTTTCAATTTTGTAGATAGTCTGGGTTTTGTCTCAGGTGTCCTCCCTTGCTGTCATAACACTCCAAACCACTCTTCCATCATTAGACTTTCCACAGCGAACTCCAGGAACTCTTCAAAACTGAAGTCCTTTCTGCATAAATACAGAATCTACTAGATTCCCTAAATCCTTTCTGCATAAATTCACGTATGTTTATTTTAACTAGAAGGACGTGAGATTCTATGGACTCCTGCCGGAGCAGGACAGATTCCAGCAGTTACACAAAAATTTAAACCTCAGTTGTGCATCTTTTTACAGCCCAGACACTCGGTACTATTTGGCAAATTCACTCTAAGGAATAGGAAGGAACTACCATTTACATTTCACCAATGCACTGAGCTCACCAATTACATATCTTCTCCAAGGCACAGGTGGCAGACAAATCATTTCTCTACCAGTAACATTTAGGAGCAGCTTTGGCTCCAAGATGTCATCCTTCCTCATATTTTTGTGGCAGCCCATCCATCTGCCTCTCAAAAGCAAATCATCCTACTTCAGATTTTTCAGTTCTTCCAAGACCACTCACTACCAGTCTGAAATACTAGATAGAAGACTATCTGACAAAGAAAACGGGGTGTGGGGAAAAAAACAAAGACACCCCCCCCCCAAACACCAAAAATGAGAAACATCAATGTACACACCTCAATGCTTTCCCAATCTATCAGTGTCTGATAACAAAATAATCTGTATTTTGAATCAATCATTCTACGCAGAGGTCTGATAAATAAATGAAGATCTCTCCCTAATACCAAATACTAGTTCCTAAAATCCATCCAAAAGGTCTTTACGTTTCAGAAGTAATCATTTAGTACAGCAGCAACACACAGTAAATGCAAGACAAAAAAATAAATCTCGGTAGTATTTCCACAGAACCCACCATAACTGGGTTCAGTTTAGTACTTGATCATTTATACATAAGCAAGCCTCAGACATTACAAAACCCAAAAATATCCCAAGAAAGCACAGATTGGAACAGTTTTTCACAATCCAGAATGGTCACAGGAAGAATAATTATGTTCACATGTGCTTATGTGCACTGTTTAAAAAAAAAAAAAAAAGGTGGCACACTAAACAGTTGGGAAAAAGACAGATTAGCTTAGAACACAGTCTGACCAAGTTGCTCAGAAAGCAGTGCTAACTCACAGATGACCTCTGAAACCTGGCTGTCAGCTTCCAGTGTGGTAAGGTGAGCCACAATTCCTGCTCCCCTCTCTGTCTGGTCACTGTGTTAGAGCAGGGCCATTATAATGCAACCCTCTGAACTGTTTCTCCCCTACTTTCTACTGCTCTTAAAAACAGGAAGTTATACAAAGTGACACTAGCAAACAGGTAAGCTCTAGAAAAAGTTTGCTCTCCTCTTTACTTTCTATTGCACCTGAAGGTAAGATTTGCAAGCCACATATATTACATCTTCAAACTTCTGATTATCTTGTCTATTAAAAGGCAAAATAGATACTGACATTTTCCTGTCAATTTCCCATAACAAGCTGCAGTCTTAACATTTTGGTATTGCCCTGGTTTCAGCTAGGATAGAGTTAATTTTCACCAGAAGCTGGGACAGGACACAGCCAAGACAGGTGACCCAAACTAGCCAAAGGGGTATTCCATACCCTATGGCTTCGTGCTCAGCATAAAAGGGTGCTAGTCGGGGAGCAGCAGCAGGGCAGCTCCAGGACTGTCAGATCATGCGGTTGTTGGGTGAGCAAATCGCACTGTGCATCACCCACTTTGTATATTCTAAGTACTTTTGTTGTTTTCTTCTTCCTTTGCTGTCCCAGTAAACTGTCCTTATCCCAACGCACGAGTTTTGCCTTTGTGTTCCGATTCTGGGCGGTGGGGAGGAGTAGTGAACGAGCTGCCGCCTAGTGCTCAGCTGCCGGCTGGGGCTGAACCACCACAGGTATGAAACAGGGAAACAGTTGCACAGAAAAAAAAAATATAAGCACATTCAACAATCATTTGAAAAAAATAACTTGAATAGAAGCAGTAAAAGATGTCTCCTCTCTTCTGCTAACATAAGGAGTAATACAGATGACAATCTGTGTTCTCTGACATTAAAGCAAAGTGTTGCACAGGCACGTTTTGCAGCACTTTTCTGAAAGACCGACCTGAACTACTTCTTTTAGGATAGAAAATAGGATCCACCTAAAACATCTTTGTGTGTAATGAAATTTACTGCTTTCTGGTATGGAATACTAGATAAGTGACAGAATAGTCATAAATTAGCAGATGAATGGAAAGTTTCATGCCATATAAATCCTGTATTACCAGCACTGACAGTAGTGGTTCTCATGTAAGTTATGGTGATGTAGTATTGTGCTTCCTATGTATAGCTGAATCTTTTTTTATTTCAGAAAATAACACAGCATGAAAATAGACATAGTTACTTGCAAACAGAAAAATCTACTTAATCTTTTAGTCAACCCTTTTATATGTGACAATCAAAAATTGATTTTAAAAAAGGTCACTAACTTACATCTAGGAACATTCAAACTCAGTCCAGTGCCTAATCTCCCTTATGAATAGAGAAAAAGGGACAAAGAAAAACCAAATAGCGAAGACCAACCATGAAACCTGAACTGGAAAAACAAAAAATAAATTAAAAGATTCTGGTAAAATTATTGTGATTTTGCCATTTGTACTGTTGCTTTTACTAGCTTAGCATAAATTTAGAAAAGCAGAGCATTCAGATAAACTTGATCTCACCTGTGAGATCCAGAACAGTCAGAACATTGTGTCACACACTTGATAAATTTGAAAATAAGCAGAGGCCCCACTTCTTCAAATTTAGACAAAAAAAGTTCTTTTAAAATACATTAAGTAGTTTCTCAACTTCATAATATTTTCACTTTGTGATTGTGTACCAGAGAAACCATAAACATGTGTGTCAGAAGGAACCTCAAGAGGCAGCCTAGTTCCTTGCACTGCAAAATGATGCATCCCTATGCCATCCCTGCCAGACGCTCATTTAATCTTTTTTGACAAAGTTCCATTGAAATAGAGTCCACAACATCCTCAGGGAAGCTGCTCCACTTTATTTTTCTTTTTACAACTTCTATATTTTGAGTGGTTCCCCTCAAGTCTTCAACCTAGGTCTTCCACTCTGCAAAAGAACCTTTTTTTCCTGCCCTACATAAACAGACATGGCAAATTGATCCCTGTCACCTTTAACACAATTTTACAAGTTGGGAACCTGTTACTGTGTCCTCCCAATGCCCCTCCTTTTTTTCCAAGAGTCAAATTCAACTCCTTAAAGAAGGAAGGACTTTAATACATCAGTGGTCTGGTCTCCTTCAACTCAGTGCTCTTGGTTTCAGAGATACCAAAAGGATGCTTTATTCATAAAAGGAGCTTATGAAAAGAGCCCATGAGTTATCAGCTTCCTCCAACACTGTGTTCTCAAACTTCAGAGAAAGGTTTTCATCTGCCTTCTCGGTATTACCCTCAGGCTCTAAACCTCCCCATGTGGCTTTTGGTAATAAGCAGGACAGGCATTTTCCATCTCCTGGGTAACAGCCAAAATAAGACAGCTGTTTTTTCTCAAAAGAACTAGGAACCCACTTAAGTAAAAGGGCTGATATCACAGAGGAAAAACAAGGGAAAAATATCTTCCATGTTCCCTTTATCTTCTCTACATTAACTCACACGACATTTAAGTATTTCTCTGTGCAGGTAATGGACTCTTTCTGCTCCCCAGTATCACTCACCCTCTGGAACAGCTGACCAAAAGTCAAAAGGTTCCTGGAAATTAAGAGGATTTTGGGAAGAATGGTTTTCCTTGCACTAATTCTGTGAGTAACAAAGTAGAAAACTTCTAAATCAGACTGTGACTGATCTGTGCTTACAAGACTGGAGCCTGAAGTAATAAATTATGTATTTGACAGGTTTTGGAGACGTAGCAGCAGCTCTGAGCTCTTAAAAAAACCCCAGAGATCATCGGTGAGAAAACCCAGTACCTGCAGGTACGCATTAGAGTATATACATCAAGGCCTCAAGTTGAATCACCATAGTGCCCAGATTCTGGGAAATCCCAACAAAAGATTATAACCAAAAGATTTGGTTGAATCAAAATGAGCAGGCCTCCACATGCCCACAGAGATACCTTGCAAACAAAACAAAATATGCAAAAATATTTCAAACATATAAAACCAAAGATATTATCAAGTGCTGAAAAGACAGACATAAAAATGAGGCAATATTAAGGTTCTTTAGAGCAAAGTAACTTCAAGCTGGAGGAATGCCTGTCATTCCACCTGCAGTTCAGCAATGGCATAACCACAGCAGCAACCAGCTCCCGAAGTTAA